GGGTTTGAGCATGGGATGCGCTTCTCCTCTGGAAGGGAAGTCACTTATGTTGGCTTCAGTAGGCACACGAGCGAACCAAGCCTGAGAACTGTTTAAGGCTTCATGCTCTCAGGCACCAACGGTGGCACCTTTCGTCGGGGTTGAAGGCCGCTGGACACCTGGGCAGCCTGGGCTTTCAGCATAGATTTATGAATATCTCTCATGGATTGCGGTTGCAGGATCAAGCCGAACGAGTGGGCAACTTGAAGTACAGATTGCACAAGAGCAATACACATCTTTCGGGGGTATGCTGATTCTAGGCTTGTGGCCCAGACTCGCTTTCCGTCTGAGTCTTGGGCGAAGCGCCAAGATTCATGATCATGAGACTTGTCACACTCTATGGAGAGCTGCTGAATTTCTTGGAAATTCGCCACAATGCGGGTCCACTTGTTTCGAGCGCCGCCGAGCATGCAAACGTGGAAGTCAGCGACAAACAACCTGCAGGTTTTCATCAGGTGCAAGAACCAATCCGTGACCCAAAAGTATGAATTCTTTGGGTTCTCAACTGTTGCTAAGATGCCAGCTTGTACTGCTTTCTTGAAAAGCTTGCAAGTGTATTCAAAGAGGTCATTTGCGATGAGAACACGTTGCTTGTCATTCCCGGATAGGCTTGGCAGCCCATGCGGAAATTCATTGCTGCGCAGTGGTCTCGGATCTGACCAATGCACTCTAATCTCTCGGGCCCTTGAGGCCGTTCCACAAACAGGTGCAAAATGCATCCACAGCAAAAGGGGTGAATCCATCCAGTGTTCCAGCAACAAGCGATCTTCAGAGTTCCTGAGGTCGAGTTGGAACACAGAACTACGAGCACCTTTCTTCCTCTCTTTATCAACTGCAATTGATCCAGCTAGGCCATGCTGTTTAGCCGTGGCACAAAGGATCGCGCAGCCGCAAAACACTTCAATCATGAAAGTCTGCTCGACATGCATTGAAGGCCAAGACCTGAATTCACTTTGCGAAGGCTGATGTCAATGTTTGTGCTCAGTCAGGCTGTGCTTTGCCTGACACTTGGGTTCCATGCACAAATGCCATCCACGGGAACATCGCTCCCCAGGCTTCACGGTAGTCGAATTTGGGCATCCATCGACTGTGTTGTATGCGAAGCACAACGGCTCACCCTGTGGCGTTTTGTGCCACTTGCCGATCAGCTGACGAGGCATTGGCGGAGCACCACCTTTTCCTTTACCTTTACCTCTCTCTTTACCTTTCTTGCCTTTGCCTTTTTCGGACTGTTGACCATAGGGTCCTGGCCTTGGAAAATCTCTCGGTCTCTCAATCTGCACAGGCTTGGCAACTGGCGCCAGGTAGAGCGTGATGTTCGGGTCGGCTCGAAGGGCCAAAAGGGCCTCGCCCACAGGAAATCTACCGTCGATCAACTGCTTCACCGAGTGCACGGTACTTGCAAGTCTCGCCCAGGCTGCTCTGTCACATTGAATGACCTGGGCCAGGGATGGCTTGTTGTATCCCGGTGGACTCTCACGATGCAATGCTTCTACTAAAAAGGTCTCCCATTCATTGCGCTGATCAAAACTCATGATCCTGGCGAACTCTAGAGCGATTGCACGGCGAGTGAAAGCAAAGTGGAGTTTCAACTCGCTGTCTGTCACGGTGCTAAGCTTTTCATCCTGGTTTTTCAAAACAATTGTTCCTTTCTCAAAGGCTAACTCTCTCGTTTGTTTGCTTCCTTGGATCTCATATGTGCGACTAATGCAAACAGAAGGCTCCAAATACTTTATGATGTTTTGGTCATACATCTGACAAGCTCGCTCCAAAACAACATGGGCGGGCTCAAGTTCGCCCTTAATGGCCACACCTGTCAAACGGGTCTTCAAAGCATCCATGCGTGTCTGTCGCTCAGCGAAAGGAATCTTCTTTGGTAGTGTGTCATCTTGCTGCTCTACTCCTTGGCGTAAAAAGGCGACTAAGTCTGTTTGAGCTTCAAACGTGATTCTCTTGATCAATGCTACTTCCTGCAAGGTTGCCTCCCTCGATAGGAGGGTTCTCAGAAAAGCTCCAACTTCATCATTTGTGAGTGGCTGGTTTGGCTGGCCGATTGCAAATGCCAGATGGCTCATGGTCCGAACGCCACCATCTCGAAGAGACTGTCGCACGCCGTCGGACATTCCCACCTCCAGTGCCCTGGACTGGAAGTGGGCCTCACTATCTATCAGATTCGCCATTGTGCTCACAGCAAAGAAACTACACAAAACAAGTGAACAAGAAGAAGAAACCTAGTTCCACGTTAAGGTGAGAACATGTTGGCCTAGATTCATTGAGCAAGTGACCAATCAACGGATCCAAAGTAGAGATAGCCTCATCACGTGCAAGTACAACAAAGAAGTTTACACGTTTTAGACACAACGTTGGTTAAGCGTTTGCGTTTTTCCTTTTGTGCGTCTCATATCAAAGATATGCTCGTGTTCCTTTGTGAAGCACTCGCTTCTGCTTAAGTGCCAATGGCACACTCTGTTCCCTTGAGCCTTCGCTCATAAGAAAAACTTCTTGCAACTTGCACATGAGCAACGCTCATCTCTGCTTTCACACAAGACTCTTCCAGAGCAATGCTCTGACTCGCGGCTCTCCGCAACTTTTCTCTCGAGGCGGAACGCCTACTCTTTGTTCTTGTCCCTTGCCCGCTTAACGGCCAAGTCTAAGTGTGTTACCAGGTCATCTAGCTTGCGAATCCGGTCAGGATCCTTTGGGAAACAATTCAGACACTTCGGCATCTTGACATGGAGGAACTTTTCTAGCACAGCAAAATGCCCTGCAACCTTGATGCCACACTTTGTGAACTCTCCTGAAGTCTTAGCACTGTGCACCAGGCCGCTCTTGGTGTTTCGCACATAGGTCTGCCCATTTGGCACTCGCTCAGCATAGCTCTCTGGCTCGCGACTTCGTGCTCCAGGCTCTTCATCGCTGGTGTCAGAGCTCGACTCTGAATCACTGCCGCTCGAAGACTCAATTTCAATGAGGCCTCCATTGACAACACCTAATGGAAAAAGACTTAGCTGTTCAGCCAGTGACAAACTTTCTCTCTCAAGATCATGTTCTTCTTTCACACTCCTCAGGTCTTCCTCGAGGTTCATAATCTCAGCAGCCCCATCGACTTCGTCGACATGAGCTGACAAAGCTTCTTTCTCGTGAACAGGAGGTCCTTGCAACAAAGGCGGGGTACCAGCACATGGCCTTGGTAGCTGAACACACGGTGTGGTCGAAATCAATGTGCCATGCTCTGCGATGTCCTCAAACTCATTCCAAGACGGATGTTCTTTAACAGCATCTGCAGTTTCCGAATGGGCCTTGTCTGAAGCTCTCTGGCATAAACGACATCGCTCCCGGTCAAGAACGAACAATGGTGTCCTAGCACAGCCCTGACTTCACGATCCATACCCGAGCGTGCGCACCAGCTCAACAAAGTTCCATTCAATGAATGCGAGCGGAAAGTCTCCGAGTTTGTCGTGCCTCTGAGCAAGAGTTTGAGCCAGGCCGAGGCCTCCGGTGTACTCAATGGCCTTGCTCCAAATCCTCCTCCAATCTTCGGTGCAGGTAACAAAGGACCTAAAGGCACATTGCTGATATTGAGGCCTGCTTGCTTGTAAAGCTCAAAGTAAATTTTCAACCAATCCATATGTACCACATCATCCCATGGTACCACCAGCGGTAAGTACTGCTCTCGTCTCAAGCCAACTTGTGAAGTCTTGTGCTCAGTTGTATAAATGACAAAACAGCCGTTTCGCTTGGCCTCAATCTCGACGTGGTGAATGAAGCGGATGTCTGACCAACGGGCTCTAGCATAAATGCACACAAGGAAAGTGCCAGCGCCTAGCCTGTCAGTCAGATTCGCATCACTTGCTAAAATGTCATGTAGCCTACGAAGATGCTCAACTTCCATTGGAGGTGCCTGGCGGGTTGGTCCTTTCTCACGTCGTTCAAGAGCTGCAAAGCCAATCAGCCTCCCTGACTCCAGGACATCTTCAGAACCTTTCAACCCAACCGTGAATTTGGTGAACCTCACTGTTTCAAGGAAAGATCCAGGCGTAGTGTAACCTCGGCCTTCTGCTACACGGTCAGCTCTCAAATAGTGAAAGTATTTCCAAACATCTTCTTCAACGAGGGGAATAGGCTCAATATGAACGTCTCTTTCTCTACAATGCCCGGAATGCCACTTGAAGAACCTCTTCAACGATGAAGCACGCTTCAACAAAGTATTTGGGCTCTTGGTGCCAAAGCATGCCTTCAATGTTTCAATCGCACTCTCACCACTGGGGTCCCCACGAAGATCACTGCAGATCTGGGCTCCAACTTTCGTTGCAGTCCAATTACAGGCGATCAAATCCAACCAAATTCCACAGGCTTTCTCTGTAGCAATGCGTTTACTTGTGAAGTAGTCCAAGTCTTGTGTACAAGTGATGGCTTCCATGTAGCATGCATCAAGCCGAACACTGAGGTCCACACTCGAGGTTTGCTCAACTCTGTCAACTGCCGAGCCACGTACTTCTGAGTTCTCCACTAGAGCATTTGCACCAGGCAGCACTGGACTAATAGAAGGTTTAAACACACTGCCCATGGCTCCAGTCTCCCAAGGTAGTTTTAAGCTCTCGTTTGGGTTTCTGTACTGCGCAAAGGCTCCAGCGATCATCAGGTTCCACTCGGCTCCAGGCAAAACAGATTGAGAACCAGCAGATTGACTATCAATGCTCTGCACAAATGACTCTTCCCTCAAGCTCTCGACTTCGGCGCCGCATTCGTCAGGCAGAGGTTCATGGCCATGAGAAAGGTGGTTTGGTTCAGATTGAATCAAATCAACGAAGCAGAAATCATCACTCTCAAGATTTAAAGGAATCAACTCAGGCAAAGAATCATGCTCGTCTCCAAGTTCATGTACTTCACTATAAATCTCACGACCCACCTCATCGTCTAACTCCATGGCGCTAATCCCCCCCGCCGCTTTTGGGCAAACGAATCGGCGCGCCCACCCACCCACCACTTGAACCAGCGCAAAGCGAAAGCGAATGTGAAATCCGGGTGCTTCCACCCTAAAACTAGAAGTGACAACTCGATCCCCTACGGTGAGCTTCATT